CCCCATCTCCTGTTCGCCAGGTCCCCCAGTTCCTTTTCCGCCAAGCTGCTTTCCAGCTGGCTGGCCCCCAGCATATACTGGTGCCTGGGGTTGTTCCTCACCAGGTGTAGGACTTTGCACTTCTCCTTGCTGAACTTCCTAAGGTTTCTGTCAGCTCATTTCTCCAGACTGTCAAAAGCTCATGCTGGATGGCAGCACGCCCCTCTGGCCTATCAGCCACTCCTCCCAACTTTGTATCTTTGTCAAACTGCTGAGGGTGCCCTTATCATCCAAATCACTAATGAAGAACATGAAATGAACATTGTGAAGATGTTAAACAGGACTGGACCCAGTATGCAGCCCTTCTCCTCTTCCCCCAGGGTATGCTGCTAGTTACTGGCCTCCAGCTAGGCTTTGCACCACTCATCGCCACCCTTAGTGCCCAGGCATTCAGCCAGTTTTCAATCCACCTCACTGTCTGCTCATCTAGCCCCTACAGGAACATCTTGAGGGGGTATGAGGCTCTTACGGGAGACGGTGTCAGAAACCTTGCTGAAGGCCAGTTAGACACTAGCCACTGCTCTCCATCTGCCAGTCATGTCAGTTCATCATAGAAGTTTATGAAGTTGGTGAAGCCATGATAACTACTCCTGAGGAGTTTCTTGTCCTTCATGTGCCTGGAAATGGGTTCCAGGATGAGCTATTCTATCACTTTCCCACAGATCTAGGTGAGGCGGACCAGCCTGTAGCTCTGTGTGTCCTCCTTGCCCATCTTGAAGATAGAAGTGACAGTATGTGTGGAGGCCATGCTCTGACTTTCATTTCCTTCAAAATGGTGGCATGTGTGTTGTAAAAGGGAACATGTCCCTTGCACTGTAAAGTTAGCCTGCTTTTCTGCTCAGTTCTTCTCTTTTGCATACATTTTGTTTTTATTTCTGGAAGTGTCAGAGGCTTTATTTCCTCCCTTTTAAGAGTTGTGTTTCATCTTGCAACCCACAGGTATTTGTGTTGTCTTGGGCATGTCTCTGTACCTGGTAAGTGTTGCTCATTCAGACCTGTGTCCAACCTGACCAAGTCAACCCCTTTTTATGTTGCGAAAGATTGAGTTAATATATTTGACATGGCATTATGCAAGGAGACTGTTTTTAGTTGTTCTTCTGCCATGATCCCTAAGTCCTCCTTATGCTTGAGTCTGTGTTCAGTTGTTTATCATGACTCCTAAATCCTTTCTGACTAAAGATGTGGCTTATTTTCTTTGTTTCTAGATGTAGACCTTTACTTGTATTAAGAGTATTTTGCATGCTAGTCTATCAAGCATTCAGGTAGCTCTGCCTGTATCAGTAGTATGTCTTTCATACTGGTTACTGTTACTTATGCTTACACATTTCATTTTGACTTTTTTATTTTTCGCACTGTGCCTTTGGAGATACCAACTTCAGATTAACTGAATAAAAGAGTAGTGAAAAGGATTTCAGTGCTTACAAGTTTTAGCATTAATATGGTTCAGCTGCATCTATCACTATATTACTTTGTCTCCTGAACATCTGTACCCTTAGACTCATCGGTATGTACTCATATAGCATAGCAGAGTTGTCATCGTTGAGATATGTGAGCAGACAAGACAGGAAGCATTTATATCACTCAGCTCTGTCTGCATACAAACAGAAATTCTGATGTCTTTCTGAGTGTGGAACCACCACCACTTCTTTAAAGCAAGCATTACTAGCCAATATAAATAGGTACAGAATCTGTAGAGTTTTCTTCATTCAAATGCTTGTCTATATGCTGGAAGTGTTGTAATAGGTGGAGGTTTATTACTGTTTATTGATAAGTAAATATTATATCCTGACAGCAGTCCTGAATACTTATGGAAATGATTGGTGACAGCCCGTGGTCCAGTTACTGTTCATAATGTAGCTATTTTACAATTTAAGAAGAGACATATTTTAACCCTCTATTGAACAGGGTAGCTGCAGTGTACGTCTAATTTAGGTGACTGACCTTTTGTAAATCCACATTGAGTACTCCCAGGGACTTTTGCCTTCATGTACCTAAAAATGGCTTCTAAAAGGACTTGCTCTATGACTTTCCCAGGCTTTGAAGTGTAGCTGGTCAACCCATAGTTCTTGGGTTGTTTTTCTTTCTGTTTTTTAACATACTTGCAACAATTACCTTTCCCTAGTCATTGGATTCCTACCTCATTCTCTACAATCTTTCAGAGATAACAGAGTGGGAAATCATCCTGGTCTCTCAGCGCCCTTAAATGCACTGCCTGCCGTCCCAGGAACTTTTAATACGTTGAGATTTCTCTAGAAATCCCCAACTCAAACTTATTCTACTGGTAGTTTGTCTTCCCCTTGAGCCCTGTCTGTAGACCCAAAGGACATAGAAAACTTTGTTGGCGACAACCAAGGCAAAAGGTGAAGCAGCGTCTTGAGTCCCTGCAGCAGACTGAAGTACTGAGTCTCGTCTTCATCTGCATTTGTTGTTACGAAGTCACCCATCCCATTAGGATAGGGCTTATAGGGCCCTGCTTTTTTGTTTGTTCTTCTACTGT